CCCCTTGAGACGATCCTGGCTATGCCACTGGATTGATCCATAATGTGTATGGTTTGGTTTTTGTGTGGTTGACGGGCATTTAATATACATGTCTAGAACTTATTGTTTACTTGGAAAATATATTGTTTTTGAATGTATTTTATAAATCTATTCAAAAGAATTCGTGGCTTGATTCGGCGGAATAATAATGGGATAGTTTATAAATTAAGTCTAGCGGACATCATTTGTGTAATTTATTTTTAATAAAGAGTAACGAAAAAATGTGTGATTTTTATTTCTTGTAGCCAATCAACAAGTGGAACATTCTACACTGGAGTTTATTGCATCACAAGGTCGATGGGACGTGATGTCGCTTTACGGAAATGAATTTATTACTTTCAAGTCTGTTGAACGTAACATAGGAAACCATTTTGATCCAAACACTGGAGTGTTTACCGCCCCTGTTGATGGCCTGTATAAAGCAAGTCTTACAATAAAAAAAACAGGAAATGATGCTGTAACAGTTGATGTTTATCACGGATCTGATGGCGACGAGTTACCGCTCGGTACTGTTGAGACAAAAGGCAAATCTGATGAAGCTTCAGAAACATTTCAGGTGTATTTGAAAGCCGGAGATGTATTATTTTCATACACTGACTATTATGATTGTGAATGTACGCAATTTTCTTGTTCCCTCATTAGCATCTAATTTTCATGCATCATAACAATATTTGCAAGCAATAACAATGAATTTTTTGTAAAATAAAATTATTAAGTTTTACCCATGTTATTACAATACATGTTACCGCTGTGTTATTTTTTTCGATGGTCAAGAATTTGACATTTAGGCCTACATTTTATGCCATATTAAGTTACAATAACATAGCCCTATCTGCACCGAAAGAAAGAATTGGTATTAATCCAACCTTAAACCGAAAACTAATTTTGAACGTAGCAATTTGTTCAATAAACGCCATAACAGGTGGACGCTGTCAACAAAAAAATCCTTAAACATGGTACATAATCCGATGTGTTATACCTTTTTTAAATGGAATATGACTAAAGTATGAAACTGTAACAGTTAGTTCATGTGTACTGTTAGTTTAAAAATTCCTATTGTTTATACCAGGTGAAAATCTAACCATGTTAGTAAGTTTGCCCATACACATAATCCAAATAGAAACAAAGAAAAAAAAATGTCGCCAATTGATTGTAACATGTTGTATTAATAAGTAAAACTATTTAAAATTGAGTAAAACTGTGACTTGTATAACAATGTATTCTTATACTCATTTAAACAAAAAAACTGTTATTAATATAGGCGCCAAATTATTGATCGCCCTAGGCGTTATCATTATTAAAACGCCTCCTTTCACTCAAATTTACTAAAAAATAATATATATTAAGAAATTAATAAATATAAAGTCACATATTAATTAGTAATTGATTAAACGTTAAAAGTAGACAGCAAAATCTATAAATAATTTTTCGTTAATTTTTCCTCACTTATTCCTTCAATTCCAGTGTTGAAGCGTATTCACATTCTATTAAAATTGCTGCTTAGTCCATGATTCTGCTTTTCGACATTTATATGTGAAGGCAAGTAATTAAAAAAAAACTGGGTTCTCTTCTAGCAACTTGAGTATTTTCAAGGAAACAACAACAACATTAGGTACGCAATCTTCCAATTTGTGTTGTATTATATAGAGAAGCAAATGACACTCTTTGGAAGCCTTCGAGCTACAACTTTAAACTCATTTCAAAGATATTAAGCATCACAACCTTTACATACCTTATATGTCAACAGCTTTTCTAAATGTTTGTAGTCAGTAAGTATATCCGCAGGTTTCTTTGTGTTGATATTGGATATGTCATACAAGAATCATAATAGAATAGTATGTTATTAAAATTGTTGTAACATCGTTTTAAGAGACTGTGTAGCCTTGTCCAAGATATTGTAGTAGAAATCTACTTTGAATTTATGTTTAGGATTTGTAGTACCCCGACTAGAGCATTATATTCAAACTGCCGATTTTGTCTCATTCTATATTCATCTGGCACAATCTTTTTTGGAGGTCTTAAGGTTAAAAAAAATAACAATATATATTGATTATTGAATCCTTGATCCTTCTTTTACTAACTCTAATTTTTTTCCTTCTAGTGACTTGTCTTCTTGCTGGTCAAAGGGAGGCAACAATTAAATATATTCATTTTTATCACATCCATCAGATCGTGTAGCTACAAGTGAGTTTTAGATGGATTTTTCTAGCCGAACTTTGTAAATTACTCTTATTCCAATGCGGAAACTATAGCCATCAAAATAATTGCGTCTGAAGTGATCGAAAAATGAACTAGAATGACCTCGGCCTTGAGTTAACTAAACAATGTTTAATATGCTTGAATTCGATCAAACACTATCAGATGCGATACGAAAATTCTATTTTGTGAGGCACTTGGAAATATACCAGATCCTCACAAATGTTATAATAAGGTTTTGAAAATTGAACAGCTAGACCGCTTCTATCTACTAATTAAACGGTGATGGTAACGATAATGGTAACGATAATGGTAACGGTGATGGATATGATGAAGATGAAGGTGATGGTGATGGCGATAGTGATGGCGAAGGTAATGGTAATGATTCTGATAAAATTAATGTTAATGATAATGGCAATGAAAACGGTAATAGTAATGGCATTGGTAATGGATAGGGTAATGATAATAAAGGTAACAGTAACGGTAACGGTAACGGAATCGGTAACGGTAACGGTAACGGTAATGGTGACGGTAATGGGCACTTGATGATATGTTCTAATTTCAGCCAGTAAACAAATATATTTATTTAAAGTTATGTTTGTTTTGTTGGACAAAGTGTTTGGTAAGGCAGCTAAGAAAAAAAATGAGTTTGTGTGGGGGAGATAAAGTTGTGTATTAAAGTTGTGTGATAAACATGTCTTCCTTTGACTTTATAAAAAGGTTATTTTTTATTAAATTTAACGACTTTTAACTAAAAGCATTAAAACATACAAATTAACTTTAGTTATAAGCAGAGGCGTAGCGACCCTTCCAGGCGCCCGGGGACAAACTTTTCGATTTGCACCCCCTCCCCCTCAAGATTTCGATTTGCACCCCCACTCAAACTTTCGATTTGCAGCCCCCTCAACCTTTCAATTTATTTTTCCAACCCATTTTGGCGCCCCCTAAGCTCGGCGCCCGGGGACATATGTCCCCCCGCCCCCCCCCCACCCCCGTCCGCTAAGCTATTGGTTATAAGCGTTCTTAATTTGTAAATGTATCCTTATAACACGATAATAGAACACATGTCCACTGTTAGTAAAAATTAAAGCATTCAGTTTACTTAGGCAAACTAATGTGTAGCCTCCCTTGCTGGTTTTAAAACTTGTAACGGGGAAATAATTACTTCAGTATTTTATCGAGGGTATGTATGTGTGTGAGTGGAGAGGGTGTGATTGTATTAAACATGAGTGCGTATGTTTCTCAATACTACACTCAAAATTTACTGATCTATCTGATACGTTTATTTCCATACGTTTTATTTTTAGCACAGAAGAAAATTGCTCTTAATATTTTGAGGCTTCAATCTCACTCCACTTATTTCTATCACTGCCTGTCTACAATGTTACTTCTATTCCCCATATGTCACGTCAATTATCAATTTCGTTATATATTATGACGACTTTGGTGCGGCTGACTTTCTAGACGTATAGCTTGCACTAATTTTCTTGACCGACTAATACAACTACAGAATTTTTCTTTCGACAGACTTGATACTCCTCGTCTTGAATTCATACTGGCCTTCACCTTTCTTACGTCTCTAGTCCCGTTACCCTGAACTTATCTTTGATCGGCTACCACTATTCACCATGTTTCTGGTTTTGCCTGTCCAAGCTATGACAGTTATGCTACATGCAATATATATCACTTGGACAGCTTGTTCTTAGCATTAAAGGTAGAAGTTATTTGCTTTTAAGGGGTCGGTTAAGCTTATGATTACTAAACCGAATAGGCCTACTCTCGAGCAGTGGCGTAGCGAGGTCGGGTGTCACACGGTGCGGCACTTAATAGTGTCACCCCCCCAGAGGCGTAGTGACCCTTTCCGGGGAGAAACTTTCAAATTTTCGATTTGCACCCCCCCCCCCCCTCAAACTTTCCATTTGCACCCCTCCCTCAAGATTTCGATTTGCACCCCCCCCCCCCCCTCAAGTTTTTTATTTTGCTATTTTTTGCCTTGGTGTCACCCACCTAAATGGTGTCACCCGGTGCGGTCCGCACCCCTCGCTACGCCCCTGCTCTCAAGCTCGAACCTTCGGGGACTGAGGGTCGTTATGTGGGGACAACTCTTTTAAAATCAAACAACTGCTGCCTTGTAAATTGTTCTTGATTTGACAAGAAAGCTAATCCAAAAAAGAAAAGCATGCTGAAATCAGAGTTGTTGTTTTCCCTAGCTAACGCGCCACATCTGCCCGATGTTCCGCACTCAAGACTTTTTGATTAACTCTCCTGCTCTATCCCAATTCGACCACTCAAAAAAACCAAAACATTTTCATAAACGAAATGTTGTGTGAGTAGGCCTATAGAAAGAAATGTACATTAAAAAAACTTTTGAGCTTTACATTAAAAAAAAATTCTGATTCATATAATTTTTACCTTATTTTAAAAAATTAAATAAAAAGTATCTTATAATCTTTTTAATAAGTAAGCGAAATGATGTGAGTATACACAACCATACATAATAATACATCTATTTTAAATTTATCAGAGCATGTCATTCATTAATACATTATACATTCTAGTCGAAAACAATGTGATTATTTTTAAATAAAATGTTACCGAAGTTGAATCAAGTTTAAATAAAGACTTACTAAATAAAGACGAAGAAATAACATAACATGTTATTACTGATTTTAACCTAACATTGGCCGCTAAAAATATTTGTTACACTTTTTATTATTCCTTAAAACAATGTTTTTTTTTCCTGTACATGTTATGATGTATGAATATTAGACGTCAAGAAGGGAACAAGAAAAATGTGAACATTCCGAATTCATAAAGGCAGTGGATGAATATAAAACATCTCCAGTTTTCATCTTAACCTCAAACGTCATTGAAGCTTCTACAGATTTATATTGTGTACAAACATTCCCGAGCCTGGTCAGGACACCACCAGATTTGTGATAAACCCAAGCTCCTACAGCATGATCTCCTGTTAGTTTTATTGTAAGACTTCCTTTATACAGGCCATCAACAGGGGCGGTAAACTCTCCAGTGTTGGGATCAAAATGGTTTCCTACGTTACGTTCTACAGAACTGAATGTAATAACGTTGTTATATCTTTTCCCGTCCCAGCGACCTTGTGAAACAATAAAACCTTGTGCTGGATGTTTCACTTGTCGATGCGCTGCAAGGAATAAAATTTAAAAAATATGACAATTTATTTTATCACAAGTATCTAAAGAAATTTTAAAACATGCTAAAAGAATTAAATAAATGTAAAGACATTAAATGACACTTGACTAAAACATAACTACAGAGACAACATAATCTAAGTTTACCTTTTGTTTTGCACCAAATTTATGTCATTAAACATATTTGCTATTATATAAAAATTTACTTACCAACTATCTGAAAATCCTGTGACAACTTTAAAACATCTTTTTCCAGAGTTTCAATCTAAAAATAAAAATATAAGTTATGAAATAGGTAATGAAGTCCTTAATAAAACCATTCCAAATAATAAAGTACAACACTTTCAATTCAGCTTTGTATATGCAGAATTTATCACAAAATACAAATACACATAAAATATATAAGGGGACACTTCATGAGAACCAGAGTTCATCTGATTCTCATGAACTAAATGATTTTAAATAAAAACAAGTTACTAATAAATTTTACATATTGGTTAGAATACTTTTTTACACTTTAGACTTTAATACCTTCAATATCGTACTTTAAATAACTTGTATAACAGCAATAATTCTTTTAAATGTAATAATTTGTTGTTTATTAACTTAAAACTGTCATCATTTGAGTTGTTTTCTATTGTTTACCTTACAGCTTAATATAATGAATTTACATTGTGTCTATTTTATAATGCTTAAATGTGTATGTGTATGTGAAATGTTTAAAAGTAAATAAATACTTAAATAAATGTGTTATTTCACCTTATTCAATTTTTCCTTGGTAGTCTCTAAGTTTCTGTTATTTGCTTGAATCATGTTGTCAATAGGTGACAATCTTTGTTGTAGAAGTTGACAAACAACACCATGCTATTGAGTAGATTTACTGTTATCATTTCACACAATTGAACATATTTTATAATTGAATTGTTTCAGGTATCTAACACAATCAAATTACTTTGTAATTACTAGAACAATAATTCTCATGTGATTAACATTAATAATCTACAATATCACCTTAGACAGTAATTTTTCTTGTGTTATAGAGATCAAATCAAAATGTGTTTTAATTTCTTGGGTTAAATGTTCAGTTTTGTCTGTGTGATTCTGGATCTCTTTGTTTATTTTGTATAAGTTTTTTTCATGGTCTTTCAAAACTAGAGACAGTTCCTCTAGTGCTTTGTTTGTTGTTGATTCTTTTTCTTCTAATTTTTCAATTCCTTTGTTTATCTCTTCTATTTTGTTGTCTTGTTCATGTTGTTGTTTTCTTAAGTTTTTTAAATTCTGTTTTTGTTTCTTAGACACATTGCTAATTTTCACCGCCATTTCACTCTGTTCTGTTACAAAGTTGTCTCTCCATTGTTTTATTCCTGAAATGTCATCTTCAGTCTTTTGTTTTGTGTCTTGTAGAGACGTTAATGCTGTTTCTATATCTTCAAGTCTTCTTATTGTTTCTGCATGAATTGCAACTTTAGATATAATGTAAAATTAAGCTGAGAAATATGATAACAATTCATGATAAAATCAAATCTGTTTAGCATCATTGTGATCATTATAAAGCATTCAGTTTGTATTAAAATCTTTATAATGTATATTTGTCTTCATTGGGTATTGTTTTAATTGTGTAGACTACATACAAACTAGTTTAAATTAGGGTACACAACTATTATGCTACAAATGTATTTATGCACATTGTAATACAATTTGTCATTAGGATTAACACATAGTGATGCAAACATTTAATAAGAAAAAAAAATATACCAGGTGTAGAGTCTGTTGAAACATTTTCTTCTGTTAATTTTAAACTTTTACTTTGAGGTGTTGTCTTATATCCTGTCATCTTTGTGGGTGGGTACAGCTTGGTGGATTCTGTAAACAAAATACAAACACGATGCACATCAGTTAACATTGAATTAAACTAAATAAAGCATTGGCAATAGTGTCACTATTTGTACACATAGTGACAGCAGTTTAAAATTGATAATTTGCTACAAAAGAAGTTCACAATAGTCAGTGTGAAGTGAAGTAGTATACAAAAAAAAAAGAAATTATAATTTGGTAAATGTTACTAAAATAATAGCTTTATAAGCTAAACAGTTAAACAAATTTAAATAAGCAAATACAAGTGTAATAAAAAAAAACAACATAAAATGATCATACCCGTGAACTTGTCTGTGTGTTCTAGTATTGTACTCTGTGCAGTTGCTACAACCACAACTGCGTCTTTCAATGTAATGTTGGTGTCAGAAGTGTTGTGTATACATTCTATTACTCTTGTTTTAATCTGCACAATGGGAAATATTATATTTAAAGTGGTTATCTAGTTATACTATTAAAATAACAAAATACAGATAAGGCCTATCTATTATTTCATCAGAACTTGCTTTATTATAAACAATTTAAAGATTGATTGCATTCAGTATTTTAAATAATTAAAACATACATTGAGACTTGTGAATTGCTATATGTATAACTTGTAGGCATATACTGTGATGATACATTATTTTACTTTAAAATACAACTAATTAAAAAGACAACATTCCTAACAAAACCAAATTTGAATATGCCTAGCCAGTTTACCTGCTGTACAAAATCACTGATGCTACTTTGTAGATGAAAACTTGACTCGTCCAATAGCTCAAGCTGTGTAGTTAAATATTTCTTTAGGTGGTCAGACATCTGTGTAGAGTTTATTTAAGTAAGATTTGAAAATGTTAATTTTTTTCATCAATTCTGGCTAATTTCTTCTTACTTTTAGTATGTTGTAAAATTACATTTGAACTCTTAAAATATAGGCCTAATAATTTATTTAAAGTTACAATTAGCATACATAAATAGCAAATTAATGAAAGGATAATTTTATATGTACACCATTTATGAAATATTATCAGTGCTAGGGTAAATCATTTGAATATTAAACATATTATTTTTTACAAACAATTAGATCTATGATCGAGCAAACCAATTACTACTGAATCGAGTACTGATGCTACTAAACTAACTAATAAATGTAAACTCGCAGTTAGCAATAATACTGTAGTAAATGCCCCTATTATTATCTAATATATGTTGCTGTTACAAGCATAGACCTATAAAATCATGTACAATATAGGGATTTATTTTTATCAATCAAGTCAGTGGTAAGGTAGACTCAAACCCTAACATTTTAGGCTAGAAATTTAGAAGTTGGTGGCTATACCATTTATATAGTAGATCTATATACTAATACTTTGAAGGTATACATTCGGATTTTCATGTTAAAAAAAAGAATATTAACTTATACAACAAGATACATACATTTTTAGATTAACGCCATATAATAAACACTAACGGTACCATGAAGCAGTAGTTATAACAAATGGCGAACAAGAATTTCGCTTTAACTGATTGACAAAATAAATTTGGGAAAATCCAATAACTTAAAAAAAACAGAACTTATTAGGTATTGTCTTCTAATACGTTGAAAAGGGCATATTTTTGTAGTTTAGTTGTTAGCGTTACTTCTACTGTGTATCCTGCTTGTTAACATCAAAACTGGGCCAGTGTGTTTTACCAATATGTTTATTTTTTGTTTATGACCATGTAATAGCGGGGTTTCCCGTTTAATAGTTTTCAGTTTTGGTTTCATGCTCACGTTCTACACTGTTGGCCATACTAAATAACCGCCTACTACACTTCTTAGAAAAGTTTTGAGCAATTCTGAAATGAGTTGAGTAATCAGGTGGTGTTTTTAAGATATGATCAAATTAGGTTTGACTGCTATCATAGTGTCAAAACCTTATTTCTTCTTATTATAGAGTCCCCTAAAAAATGTCCTATATTTTATGTGGACGCGATAAATGGATAATCTCTAAACACTGACATAAATATAGTTGAAACATGATCAATCAGACGTCATCGCGTCTTTTTTTTTCTACGACTGGTTGATTTAAAGACTTTGATCAACTTTACAACCACCAAGCCATAGCACACAATATAACTAGGAGAAAGAATTCATGTACATTAAGTTATAAACAAAAAAAATTATATTGTTTTATAAAGGACAATGAAATTGTGTGTGTGTTTTGTGAGTGGTGTGTGTGTGCGTGAGTTTGTGTTTGTGTGTGTATGTGCGTGTGCGTGTGTGTTTGTGTGTGTGGATGTGTGCGTGTGTGGATGTGTGGGTGGGTGGGTGGATGTGTATGTGTGTGGGTAGGTGTGTGTGTGTGCGTGTGTGTGTGTGTGTGCGTATTCATAAAAAAACAATATGATTTTGGAAAATTCCGATTTTAGGGCCAATAACTCTAATTAAACCTAAAGTGGGCGTATACTGAAGCATTAGTTCAATAATAAAAAAGTATTTTGTTTTCTTTTTTGTCTGAAAAGCTTCATCTTCCATCAACCGTAAGTTAAAAACTGGAAGCGATTAATTTTTTACCATCTACCACACACGTGTTACTGTTATCTCTACACAGTGTATGACAATAGAGTTTAAGTGATGTGTTCAACAGAGGGCTTGGCATGGCCCTATTTTTATAATAGTAATAAATGTGTGATGTCTTGTCAATAATAATAATTAATGATGATTTGTTATCACAACCTCTAATACATATTAGTATAATATGCTACATGATAAAGCAACGCATAATTAATATGTTTCAATCTGTTAGATTCATATACGTCTTTAATAAACTTATTAAATATATCAATACTAGCCGTCCCGGCCAGGCCCTGCTCTGGCTTCTGTGAAAAACCTTTCTGTTAAAGACCATCACCTATGTGTTTAGTAATCATCATAAACCCGGCATCGCCCACCCAAACCACAACCAACCAAAACCAAAACAACAAAACGCAAACATAACGCTAACACAATTACAAATACAAACGAAAACAATAACCTAACAACAAACCCAACTACAACCACAAACACCAATACAAACACAAAGAAAATAAGGTTTAAGCCATTGTAGTATCACAGTAATTTTAGTAGATTTAATCGTGATTCACTTTAAATTATTGTCTCTTGTGTTATAAAAATCTCAGAGTACAATGATAATTCTAATAACTATACAAAAATATTGCTTACAACTTTTTTTAACAAGGATAATTTATACATGAATTAATGGATAATCAGAAATAGTTAATATGTAGGGTCAATGTAAAGTGTGATAATGTGATGTGTACAAAAAGTGAAGTGTGAGATTGTAATGTGTACACGATGTTTGCACAATGTAAAGTGTGGTGTTTTATATGTAATGGGACATATCAGCAAGAAACACCGGTTGCGTCTTATTGTCTTTCTGTCAAACGATAAAGGTGGTCATAGAACTAAAAAATTATGTGACTTATGTGTTATTCATCAATGTTATTTTCATGTTGCTTAATGTTTTGGATCTCGATGATACTTTATAATGACCCTACACTCTTTAGATCAACACAAATAGCACTCGCCATTTTAAGTTCATGTTAATTATATAAATATACTGTCACTGATATCCAATTTGCAATATGTTTATATAATGTGAGGTAACTTTAGGTTGGGCTATGTCGATCTTCTCAAATACATTCTATAACAAAAGTCGGTTAACTTATTAATAGAAGAGACTACTGTTCTTTAGAACGTAGTTCCAATGCGATGCACTTGAGCACATGTATTCGTAACGGTAGTTACCAAAGCGTAGATGTGTATATGACGAGACTGTAGGTAGACTAAGACTGAAATTAATAAGGATAATTTCTAGCTAATTCGCATTGAAAATAGGGCTAGTAAATAGGTCACCATCCAGTTCTAAGGCTAAATAAAACCTGCATGAGCCATAGAACTGGTTGGTGACCTACTTACCCGCCCTATAGACAGTATGGTTGTATTGTGTATGCGATTGATTTATTTGTTTGACAGAACGTGTGTTTGAAGTGACGAGAACAGAATGACGTAGAAGACAAGACTAGAGAGAAAGGTGGGAATTTATAAAAGCTTTTGAGATCTTTTACATATTTTAGTACCAAAGCTTTGATGAAAGAAAGCAAATTAGTTTTATTTTCGTCTTTTCAGTTCATTTAGAAGCTTGCCATTTGAAAAGGTTTTTATATTTGTTTAATTTTCATATATTTAGGAAACCAAAAATATTTGCTTTAAAAACTAACAGTAGCTCGTGAAAGATGATCAATTCCCCCCACCCCATTTAAAAACTATATTATCTGCCCTTGATAGCCTCGATCGGCTCGACCGTTGTAACCCTTCCAAGAAGCATAGCTCACAAGACTTTTAGGGTATCGCGTCTATCTATTTATATCCATTTTATTGAAAATAGTAATCTATCCAGTGATTTCATTTTGATATCCTCTTCTCCACCCCCCCCCCCCCTTAGTTCCGAAACCGCTTAATTAATTTTAATGGCTAAAATCACAAACAAACAAAAAAATTAAACAAACAGACGTAGCGAACTAAAACAAAATTGTAAAAAGACAAGTGAATGACTGATTGAGACTCGTGCCTTTTTGTTTCTCCCAGTTGTCTGAATATGTGGAGCAAATGAGGTCCAAACTCGTGACTTTCTAGCATTCGAGCTTCCTATCGAAAAACCAAACCGTCTCCTTGGGATAACGTCAAAATCTGTAACATCAGTGCCCTAACAGCCCATACACACGCAAGTAGATTACGTTCGTGGAAACATATAGCTACGTAAAAGTGAAAACAACAACATTTCACAAATACATTAACTAGGTCAATGACAACATAAATCTTAAGCCTCGTTTTTTGCCGGTTCTTGTTAAGTTACTAAGCTGGGAGGATGAGAAACGGTACATTAGTATGAAGTCGTCTTACGTCGCACGATAATGGAACACTGGCAATAATTGTGTAAAAAAAACAACTAAATTTTGTATAATTTAAAAAGTGCAGTAGATTAAATTGTGAAAAATAATTTAATTATCAAGATTTGAAGTATCAGTTTCGTTTTACTATCTAAAAGGTGATATTACTCTAATATATGTCAATTTTTAGTTTATTATTAATATTCATTTAATTTATTAATGCAGATGTCCGACCCATTAAAGAAACATTTAACTGCTCAGCTTGAGCTATTGGACGAGTCAAGTTTTTATCTACAGATTAGCATCAGTGATTTTGTACAGCAGGTAAAGTGTAATATTGCCTACATATTTTATGTTAGCTATGTCTTCAATTTAACAAAATTAACAAAATAAATTTACATCTTCCAATTAGAAAATTTATTTTCAACATAATTTCTAAAACAGTTATAGTGTTAACTAAGATTTAGTTAATTTCTTAAAACTAAATGGTTAGAATAGATTAAATCTATTAGTCAAACAGGCCCTGTTAGTAAGGAATTAGAGTTTCACACATGGTTATATATGAAATCAATTTCAAATTAGCAAACGTTTATTTTAAAAATTAAAATTAATTATACAGATTAAAACAAAAGCAATGGAATATATAGACAACACTGCTGACACCAATATGACAGCGAAAGATGCACTTGTTATGGTAGCAACAGCACAGAGTATAATATTTGAACATGTCAGTATGGTGAATGGTATGGTGATCTATATGTATATGTCGATTTAAATAATCATTGTATACATTTATTAGTTATTCAGTGATATGTCCAGTTTTTTTGCAATGTTTTACAAATCATATATATATATATATATATATATATATATATATATATATATATATATATATATATATATATATGTCTTTTAGAGTGAAGTAGAGGTACAGATAATTAATACATAATAGTGTGCCCTGATTTAACTATTGATTAAATATATTGCAGTGGTTAAATAGCTTCAGCTTACAAAGTAAACATTTTTCAATCAAAATTATTACCTGAACTCTGGTATAACATCTTAGTTTATCATGTTTACAGAAACCACCAAGCTTTACGTTACCCTCCCACTTTGATGACAGGAGACCAGACAACAACAGAGAGTAAAAGTTTTATTCCAGCAGGTGCTCAACATATTTCTACAGTGTCTATGTCTTGTCAGTTTTATTTATATAATTAAAAATATTGAAACTTTCTATAAAATATGTAATAGAATTAATATAATAAGCTTTGACAGTATTTGAGATTAAATTAACTTAATCGTTTTTTAGAAACAACATATGTTTATATCTATGTATAATAAACCTAACATAAAATTGAACTTCCTACAGACATTTAACTATTATAATCATTATAATATCTTAATATATTTTTTTGCATCTATTTAATTCTTACCACAATTTACGCGCACTATTTAAGCTGATTCTGAAACAACGAGAAGACTAAAGGATATTGAAACAGCTTTATCATCCCTTCAAGACACAAAACAAAAGACTGAAGATGACATATCAGAAATAAAACAATGGAGAGACAACTTTGTAGCAGAACAAAGTGATATGGGGATAAATATTGACAATTTGTCTAAAAAACAAAAACAAAATTTTAAAAACATTAGGAAACAAATACATGAAGAAGATAGCAGAATGCATGAGTTGAATAACGAAATAAAAATTGTAAAAGAAAGAGAAACAAAGACGGATAAAGCAATAGAGAAACTGTTTCTAGATCTGAGAGAGTTCAAAATCCACTTACAAAACATTAATACAGAGATGCAAGCTAATACAGAAAAGATAGAAAATTTTACACAAGAATTTAAAAAACATTATGATTGGATATCTACTGTGCAAGAAGAAGGAACGAAGCATGTAATGTATACAAATATCACATTAAATAGATTCATTTCTTTTTTTTAGAAATACTATATGGCTGCTTTAACATATATATTTTTTCATAAATATTTATAAATGGTGATTATATATATATATATATATATATATATATATATATATATATATATATATATATATATATATATATATATATATATATATATATATATGTATATATATATATATATATATATATATATATATATATATATATATATATATATATATACATTCCTATACATTTTCTTATAATTTTACCAATTTTAATATTTTTCTTTCAGCATGTTGTAATATGTAAACTTTTACAACAAAAATTTATTCCCATTGACAAAATGATTCAAACATATAATCATAATTCTAAGTGTATGGAGGGAAGACTGAAGAAGGTAAAATAAGCACATAAGTTTATACCATCCTTATGTTATTGTTTACTTTAAGTGTGAAAATAAGGGTAAAGAACTTTAAAAAAAAAACTACAATTATAGATTTGTTGCCGGGCCAGCCATATGTGATTGTTTTGTTCAAATGTGCATACTCAATTATGAATGTGTTTTCATAGTTGTACTATTATTACATACAAATGCAGTGTTTAATTCACAATTATTATGGTCTTAGATTGAATCTCTCGAAAAAGATGTTTTAAGGTTATCACTGGAATTTCAAACGATTTGTAGGTAATTTTATTTCAGTTCTATTAAGTTGACTTTAAAATATAGTACATATAATACACTCATAAATTTGAGGTATAAGTTTTTCTTTTTCCTATTTTTACACATTAACAAAAATTGCAGTATGTGTATTTAGTTATGTAGTTGTGTTAATATTTACATTTCTCTAATGTAATGTTGCTGGTTTATACATTTTGTCAAAGAATGTGATTTTATTAATGCATGTAATAAAAATAATACATTTACGCAATTCATCCTTATCAACATAAACATCTATAGTAATATCAAATATTTCCCACTCATTATTTTAAAAAAATATATTATCATCTTTCATTTGATTAACAGAGGTTTGCAAGACGATGAAACTGACGGTGCAACTTGGGGGATTCGGACGACTGCGCAGCTTGGGCGTGAACCCACGACTTGTTTAGAACAAACAGAAACCTCAACTATTCAGGATCAATGTGTTTCTCAGGCAGGCTGGAGAAGTGGAAATGGCAAGTTCAATTTTTTTGTTCTTATGTTTCGCTATTTATTTAGTTTGGAGCTTTTTTTTTAATAAAATCCTTGCAAAAACTACAAGGTAACATGTTTCGTTTATGTTTTCTGTTGTATTATGAATATAATATACAAGTTTAGCTACAATCAAGATATGTCTAGCGCTTTTTTTTATTTTTGTAACGAGTTAATTATTTACTAAGAAATGATAATATATAGTTTGTCATTTTTATTACTGAACTGACTTTTTCTATAAGGCCACATTAACGGTACAGTGGGAGAATTGTTTGTTTATTTGAGAAAGGGAAACAACCTAATTAAAAGATTAGTGTGAATTTCAGCAAATAATACGAGCGTGATAAAATAATGTAGTCTTCCGTATTCGGCGGACCGTAACCTGCTAAAGCGTAATTTCGCCATTTACCGACAACCTAATTTTTTAGTTATTTTTTAACAAACCATTGGTCCATATTGTGTTGTATGTGGGCTTAGTGCATCCATCATAGCCTACACACGTAATTCTTACTGTTTACTTTGTAATGTAGCCTACTTAGAAAATATAGTTTTCTTGAACGTGTATTTTATAAATATATATCACAACTATTCATCGGTTGATTCGGCGCAGTACTAATATGAAAGTTTCTTATTACAAATTAAGTCTAGTGAACAGCGTTTTCGTAATTTATTTTATTACGAGCAATTAAAGTTATGTATTTTATTTCATGCAGCCAATCAACAAGTTGAACATTCTACAGTAGGGTTTGTTGCTTCACAAAGTTGCTGGGACGGGACAAACCGTAGAGGACACGACGTTACTACATTCAAGTCTGTAGAACGTAACGTAGGAAATCATTTTGATCCAAAGACTGGAGTGTTTACCGCCCCTGTTGATGGCCTGTATAAAGCAAGTATTATAATAAAGCAAACAGGAGATTATGATGTACAAGCTGTTGTTTGGCAAAGATCTGATGATGTTGTGTCATGGATCGGTATTGTTATGATAAATGATAACTCTGTTGAAGCTTCGCGGACATTTGATGTTCGGCTGAAAGGTGGAGATGTTTTATTTTCAGTCACTGGTTTCAAGGATTTGGAATGTACACATTTTTCTTGTTCCCTTCTTGTCGTCTAATTTGTATACATCATGAGACAAAATTTACAAGCAACAACATTTTTTTTATAATATCAACAAGTTTTACAATAATTATTTGCACTTTTAAAAGACCAAAATATAGACTAGAATCTGAAAATATTTGCACAAAGACATTGGACATACTTACACTATTATAATTTTTTATACTAAATATTTAGATATTTTCGTAAAAAATTGCAAAATTAACATTCTTTTTTTTTCCGATGTGTTTTTGTTGTCGCCGAAGATTTCTGAGTCAAAATTTGTTTCTCTCATTTGATTCAGTTTTTTCTGCATTGTATTAAAGAGCTATCGTTTAATCAATCGTCAGAATGTATTTGTCTACCTTGATTTATTTTTCTAATGCCAGTTTCAACAACTTGAATGCAGGTAATAGTAATACTAAAGATGCCTGTATTCTTTAGTGTTTTATAATTACTGTAACAATATTGTCTTTCATAAAAATAGGCTTATTCTTCTGTCACGACCCCCCCCCCCTAATGTAACTAAAACAAATCTTAGTTTAGAACGCTATTATTACCACTAACTTTCTTTTTTTATGGTTCGCTGATCCTTGTTGAACATAGGTTAAAAAAAATACAATCAATCTGTGGTTCGAGCTGAAGAATATACTATAAACTTGAAGAAATACAAATGTCATCACAACATCGACAGTCATCATTAAACATGTCATGATTAGAGCGATATATATGACATGGTTTATTTGTGTACTTTGCGCTTCTACTGCTGTTGCGTTGGTCACGACTTGAACACTATATATTGTGACATAAAATGTAATTTAATTAGATGATTAGTTTACTCTTTGAAAATTAATCAAGGTTTTATTTATGAAGTACTAATGTTCCGCAATATTTTATACACATTGTTTATTGTTCATTTGTTGCGCGATTTCCTATTCTACGAGATTCTATTCTAAATTTTAATAAAGTTAATATAAAAGAAACTTTATAGCAACATGCTTTTAAGGGGAAATGCTCGGTTTATTTTTATTTACTTTTTCAATAAAGATCGGACAATTTTTTAATTCTTTCACCATGTTTGGCACATGAAAATAATTATCAAACAGTGAAAAAAGGGTTGAAAACAATTTCTTTTACGTTAGTTTTCAAGACAGCTATTTAATATTGACAATGCGGCATACGACATTCGTTGATTAAACCGATCCAGGGACCGTACAGCGGCGCCCCTGCGGTAGTGTAACTAGGAGCTCCCGATAGCGCCCTGCTACGTCCCTGACACCTGACACCCGATTACTTCGAGTGATTTACGGACATAAAAGACTTCCATACATATTAGGTTGTAGTTTAGGCGAACCGGTTCCCCGACAACTGTTCTAAGAAATATAGCGCAAGTATTGTTTGCATTTAAATAACTCAGTTTTAGAAAACAAGGTCACTCGTCTCACAATATTGGGGTGATAACGCATTTAGGAAACCCTTCTAATATGTTTCATCAGACTGTTTTCTAACGCCGCGGCAAAGCGCGGGGACTGAAACGATAGTTCATTTTATCATCTTAACTTTGTTCAAAATTCCTTATGTTATTTGACTATGTTTGTTTATATCGTCCTATATTATGCCGCTCTATTGTTTTAATACAATGGCAGCATAGACCCGGCGCTGCACTGTTATTGATACATATATAAGTTTTTCAATTGAATGTCTGTGTAAATATAGACGCTAAAGAAAGTTTACACAAAACAATCGCGTACGAAGAAAGGAAGCGCTCGCCCTACAACCATTTTAGGGATAGGGACGTTTTTTTCGGAGAATAATTTTAAAAAGATTTAAAACAAGTTCCGCAACATACACAAACACACACACACACAGAGTACAATTTGCTGTTTGTGTAATTCCTGCTGGATATGGAGCGTCAAAAACCTACTGATCGATCTTAATTTACAATTGTAATCTCTTTTTGAGTTGTAAGTCTTATAAAGATATCGCTCTTTTTCCAAAGGCATCTTGTATAAATGCACGCATTTTAAATATGAATTTGTTAAAAACTCTATGAAATAATAGGCGGCTTGGGTTGAATAAATGTACAGACAAATACACACATTTTCACACAACTTGAATTACGTTCAGAGTTTCTTCCAGACTCCGGGGAGGGGGGGGGGGGATGGAAGGGGAGCCACTTGGTATTTTCGAGGGGCGTGGACAACATTTTCCGGAGGAGGGGGCGAACACTGGTAAACGTGTTTGTTTTCTATATAAATTCCGTCTTGTTCGAATAGATGCCTGGAAGAAACTTTGAGAACGTTAGCATGAGTCAAGATGATCAGCACGAACAGATGTACTTAACGAACATATACTTAAATATCACGTGTAAATTTAGTAAAAACATTTTAAAAAACACTGTAGATAAGCGTAATACTACCTCCATATAACGAATACGCAAACTTCAAACAAATAATAACTATAGTTGTTTATTTTAAAATCTGAAGCTTAGCTTTTGAATTAAATACAAATGTTAATATTGTTTTGCAATTATCAGTACAAAGGTGTGTGAGAAATACAGTGATCTAACGATTCCTTATCGCTATGTTAAAGAACAGAAAAAGCTAATTCAAAAATATAAAGTTCTGAAATGCAATAACAATAATTACTTTAGATTAAGTTTTCCGATCGATTTAAAAGTACGGTTTTATAGCAACTCCACGTTCACAAACGCGCAATAGCTATGGTAGATGTGTGTTTGTGTTGAAGTAAGAGTTAAAGTATGTCAAATTGTTGTGAAGATCTACCAAAGACCAACTCACCAACATTTCAAAGGAAAAAAAAGCTTTCGACAAAGTCTGGGAGCAAGGTTTAAAAACCGAAAAGCATTTGTTTCTATGCAAGGAAAAACAAGCCGTACTGTAACTATAAAAAATAGAGTCCCTCAAGGAGGAGTCATTGCAATTGCGTTTTTTTTTTGTGTGTTTACGTTTGAGTTTGTGTTGCGTTGTGCTTGTGTTTGCTGTTTTTTCTTTTGTGTTTGCGCTTGTGTTTGCGTATTTCGTTTGAGTTTGCGTTGGCTTTTGTGTGTTTGTTTTCTTTTGTTTTTCTTTTGTGTTTTTTTTTCCATTGTGTTTGTGTTTACTTTTATGTTAGTGTTTGCATTTGAGTTGTGTGTTTTTTGTGTTTGAGTTTGTGTTTTGCTTTGTTTTGTCTCCAAGTTGATACAGTTAAAAAAGATTCCCCGTGGTCGAGCACCAGTATGCAGCTAGTCAATTTATATCACGTTACTGACAGTTTATTTGGCCTACTATAACATTTAATCCAACACAAATTCCTATTTACCATAGCTATTGCTTACTTAAACAAAAAAAATTTGCTGTCTTACTGTAGCTAACTCAGCCAACCAAAACAAATTAAACGTATTACACGTATATCATCAGCCCCGTTTATATTTTAGAAAGATAAATTAATGCTCAACAGGTATAAACACAAATCTATTTTTTAAAAATTATAAAGACCTAAAATTTAGGAAATGAGGTCGCATACATGGACTATACAAATATTTGTAACATTAAAAACAAATTGAATTTTCATTCAATTCGGCTACAGAATGCGAGACAAAAATCATTTTATCCTCAACTGTGGCGAATTGGTGCACGCGTTTAGATTTCTATACTGGAAAATCAATCATGGCCATCCACCCACCCACCACAATATTTGCCTTATGTATATATATATATATATATATATATATATATATATATATATATATATATATATATATATATATATATATATATATATATATATATATATACATTTATTTATTTATTTATATATATATATATGTATATATATATATATATATATATATATATATATATATATATATATATATATATAGATAGATAGATAGATAGATAGATAGATAGATAGTTAGATAGATCAAAGAAAGGGAAAATGCATCAAACATTTTTACTGCTTATTTATGTTGATATAGAAATGATACGTTTTTTAACTAATATTTTTTTCTTTATTAATATGTATTATATATTAATTTCAAATAATTGCAAACTTTTAGTGCATAACTTGTAATTAAAAAGTATCAATTTGTACATTAAACACGTTGCTTTTGCTAGTAGATCTATGAACATTAGACGACAAGAAAGGAACAAGAAAAATGTGTACATTCACAAAATTCACAGCTAGGGATTAAAAATAACACATCTCCAGCTTTCATCCGAATGTTAAAGGTACTTGAAGCTTCATCAAAAGTTGTAAGTGTATATTTTGTCCAAATTTCTCCTAGATATGACAACACACCACCAGACATGTGTCCAAAAATGCTTCCAACAGATAAATTATCGGGTGGTCTTACTGCAACCTTTGCTATATACAGTCCATCAATAGGGGCGGTAAACTCTCCAGTGTTTGGATCAAAATGGTTTCCTTCGTTACATTCTACGTAGCTGAATGTAAACACTTTTTCTCCACTAGATGTATAAGATTTTCCGTCCCAGCGACCTTGTGAAGCAAGAAACCCCAGTGTAGAGTGTTTTAATTGTTGATTTGCTAAATGTAAAAAATAAAACCATTATTTTTTTCGAATTATAACAAACGACAATGCACACACGATACTTATGATCAACTTATTAATGACACATTTAATTCACTTCTTACTTTCTCCTATACTAATATAGCAGAAGTATTGTAATGGCGCAAAAAAATCACAAATCTCGACGTTTTACACCTCCCTGAATCGTAAATACCTAGTTTCGTAATCTAGTCCGTATGTGTGTGTATGTATGTATGTGTGTAAGTGTGTGTGTGTTTGTCTGTGAAAAAGATAACTTGAATACAGTTATAGCTAGGTTGATGTATTTTTTCATAAGTATTATTTCAAATTTGTATAAAGAATAGTGAATACACTTAACATAAAAAAACAACTATCAATTGTGTTCATTCGTTAAAATAGAAACTAAACAATAATAATGTGTTTTATTATTTATTATTGCATTGTATTTATTATATTTAACGTCAACTTATTTCCATAGCCATGAATTTACTAACCTTTTTCTTGACATTCCTGTGATAGTTTTAAAACATGTTTTTTCGATAGTCTCAATCTAAAAAAAGAGAATTAGCTGTTCAGGTACGCTATTTAGTTTAATGCAAATCTATTTTAAAAAGAGAGAAAAGCGTTATTTTACCTTCTTCAATTTTCCAACCCTAGTCTCAGAGTTTTGATTATATGTTTTAATGATTTTGTCAATTGGCATCAATCTTTGTTGTAGAAGTTTACACATAACAACATGCTTAATAGAAGATTTGTAAAAGTACCGGGTTAAAATAAATGTGTTAAAATTAAGATTTATGTAAATAAATATTTAATAAACCCAACATTAGTTGCATAAACTAAACAAAGAATGCAATTATTGTTAGATTATTTTTCATGGTTAGATGGTGGAGATAACAGGCTTGAAAAAAGAACAGATATGTCTAAACTATTATAGAAGGTTGTGAAGTAGGCCAAGGCAAACATAAGACTGTGCGGCTATAGAGATGGATAGATAACCACAAATTCTAGTTTTCTTCTTCACTATTAATTACGTGCCATATAGGCTATTGACTACTATTTCAGCCTGCTATGCTTTCTTGAATTTATTTTGTGGCCTTTTGTCCAAGAACAAGCTACAAGGCGGCAGTAGTTTGATTTAGGAGTTTTCTCTCTTAGAATATCATCTTCATAAGGGCTTGAACTCAGTTTATGAATCATTAGCTTTACATCCCCAACAACATGGACCCATTCCCCTCCTTTACATGTTTTAAAATTCATACATACATCCGCAAAGTGCAATACCTATATAAGTATTTCTAAAACTCTAGCTTAAAGCAATTGTTAAAATATTAAAAATAAAAATACCTTGGCCAATAATTTATCACCTGTGTTTGTTATTTCTTCCTGTATAGCAGATATCAAATCTGAATGTCTTTTAATTTCTTATGTTTCATGATCTGTTTTGTCTGTGTAAACTCTCATCTCTTTATTCAGTGTGTGTAGGTTGTTTTCATATTCTTTCATATCTAGAGACAGTTTCTCCAGTGTTTTGTCTGTGTCTGATTCTTTGGTTTTTAAACTTTCAATTTCTTGATTCAGATCTTCTATTTTTTTATCTTGTTCATTTATTTGTTTTCTTAAGTTTTTTAAATTCTGTTTTTGTTTCTTTGACAACTTTTCAATTTTTATCCCCACTTCACTTTGTTCTGTTACAAAGTTGTCTCTCCGTTGTTTTAATTCTGATATGTCATCTTCAGTCTTTTGTTTTGTGTCTTGAAGGGTTGATAAAACTGTTTCAATTTCCTTTAGTCTTCTAGATGATTCTGAATTGCATTCAACTGTTAAGTAAAATATCAAAATGTAGTAACAGGTAGGCTATGTGACCTACATAGTAAAATGTATTAATGCAAATGATCGGAAGTTAAATAAAATCATACTTTATAATTTCCATTGTATTCATTTTATATTTTAAAAATAATAGCTAATAAAAGAGAATACTACACATAAACGTATACATGTTTCGTGTAAGGGGGAGCAACAAGTCGAGAAAAAAACGTGAATTATATTTTGTGTTCACTAAAGATTATGTTTTTAAAAATAATCATAAGTTATGGGTTATCTAAATATCCAAGTTATAAGTTATCCAAATTGTATTCTATGGTGTACACTTTATGTAAACAATTTCAAGACTGATCTTAAAACCTAAAATGAATAGACCTCCCGTATAAAAGTGGGGTGGCTGAATGTAGCCTCAAGCAAAAGACTACATTTGTGGATTAAGATCGATCTGTGAGAATAAAACAAACAGCAGATGTAAAAGTGGACAGATCTTGTGACAAAAAAGCCCTCGCAAATGCACGCCGCTGAGCTGGGCGTCGATAAGTTAACCAAGAAGTGGGCTGTAATTCACTTGCAATAAGTTTTTAAAAAATATAATAATCAGGGTACATAAAATAACAGTTGGTAGTTTCAGAAATGTGTTCGCTGTTGTTTGCTAAGTTTTTTTTTTTTTGTTGTTGTTTTTTTAGCTTTTTTTGTGTGTTGCAGAACTTCTTTTTAATTAGTATTTAGTTATTCTCCGAAAAAGGCGCCACTATCCTTAAAATTGTCGTAGGAGGAGCAGCCACTCCCCCTCTTCCCCCCTGCATAAGCTACCAATACTACGATGCATTTGTTATATATATATATATATATATATATATATATATATATATATATATATATATATATATATATATATATATATATATATATATATATATATATATTATTAATAAAGTGCTATTAGTTTTGATAAGCCATTTTTAGTATTGTTTTAATCATACTGATTGTAATCATTCACTAAGTTTATATTATTCTTATGAATAGTTTATATTGTGTGTAAATGAGTAAATTCATACCAATTAATAAAATAAAATACAGCTTACCAGATATAGAGGCTTTAGAAATAAATCCAGTATCAGGTTTCAATATTTTACTTTCTAGTGTTGTCTCTTCTTCCAGCATCAATTTTGGAGGGAACAGTTTAGTGGATTCTGTCAACAAGAGTTACACATAAATTAATACAATTCACAGTAAACTAAATCTGAGTGGGTTTTTTATCAATATTATAGATTTTTTAATATACAGGCACTCGTTTCAAGTATTTACTGCCAATTTTACTTTAAATGTTCTAAAACTTTTATTTAAATAGTCTACCAACTACAGCAACATTTATTATAAAGTGTTAATAGCTTATCATTTAAGCAATTGTTAACCAACGAAAAAAAATATGGTTAAATGATGACCATACCAGTGAACATATCTAGGTGTTCTAGTATTGTACTTTGCATTGTTGTTATCATAGCAAGTATATCTTTCATTGTCATTTTGGTGTCAGAGGTCTTGTCTATGTATTCCAAAGCTCTTGTTTTAGTCTATAGGATAATTGAGGATAGTGTTATAAAATTGGTTACGCAGGTTTAGATTTAAATAGCAGTTGCTGTCTAAACATTTATAAGCATAGGATAGTGATTTTATCACCAGATATTTTAAATAAAGATGTGCGTGGTATGTAGTTGTTATAAGTAAAGAAAGACAGCACATTATTGCTTCAAATACCAAAACAAGACATATGAAGAAAATAAATTGAAAACTATTTTATTGCAAGAAAATATCACATATTACTTTTAATAATACTAATAAACAATTAGTCTGCATACTTATAAATAGCAATATATTTTATCTCCATAAATGTATTCGATTGCCACACACCAAAAAACATGACGCATTTAAACAAACGGCTTATCTACCTGCTGTACCAAATCACTGATGCTACTCTGTAGATGAAAATTTAACCCGTCCAGTAGCTCAAGCTGGGTAGTTAAATGTTTTTTTACCTGGTCAGACATCTATAAAAATTGATTTTAAAAATGCGATTCTAAATCAGGTTTTTAAATCTCCCGGAGATTATATTAATCGTGTAGTATATTATAATACTTGGTGTGTGTGTGTATGTGTGTGTGCGTGTGTGTATGTGTGTGTAATTAGATCTAGATCTAATCAAGTTTTGTGGAATATACTAGTTTGATATCTTGATGTAGGGTAGATTATACTATAATACGGCCTCTTAAATTAGTATTCATAACATTTAATATTAACCAAGTGAAATCGATACTTTCTAAAACAATATTAATAAAATATTCAGTAACCTCTATCGTTTTAATAGCCTAAATGTTACATTTTCTTTTATCATCAACACAGCACGTATAGAGTATATATATATATATATATATATATATATATATATATATATATATATATATATATATATATATATATATATATATATATATATCCAAAATATCCTAACATTTAAGGCTATAATACTTAATAATTCTAAATAATTCTTAAGAATCACATCACGTAACTTTTGAGGTCACTGTTTTTTAAGAATCTGTAAGCTGTCCACATGTAATATCGGAAAAATCCAATTATATATATATATATATATATATATATATATATATATATATATATAGAGAGAGAGAGAGAGAGAGAGAGAGAGAGAGAGAGAGAGAGAGAGAGATAGAGAGAGAGAGAGAGAGAGAGAGAGAGAGAGAGTGAACCAGTAAGATGCAGGGTTGGACTGGCTGTGTCTAGGCAGCATGGTCATAGAGCGGCCATCATCAAACTTACGTTTATCACTGTGACATGTATCTCATCAAAAATGTAGGATATGTTCTGATCCAACCTGAATGTTTTATGTACCTCTGTTTTGATATCAGAATGTTATATGTGCCTCTATTCTGATCTTAATGTTTTAGTGTTAACGTGTAATTATTTAGTTATGTCAAGCATTTCTATCACTTCAAGTGATCGGCTGTAAAGGTTTGGAGGTGATGATGTTTATGATGGTGCTTTAAAAAAAATGTTATATGTTGTTATGCTGTTTGACAAGGCTTAACTGGTTTATGAAGTTCAAATTGTTAATAGCCCTACATTTAATGTTAAAAATTAATCTGTTTACTATTGCTGCCCGTGGAAAAACAGTTTTATAATAGCTTTTGTTTTTGGGTTATTTTTTTGTTTAGTTTTGTCCAATTTTCTCTGTCTTCTCCTGTTATGTTGTCTTTGTAAACAATGCCATTCATTTTGAGTGTGTGTCTGTCTCTGTGATTGCTGTGTTATATGGTATTTTTCCTGTCTAACAGAGGTAGCTGGGGTTTGATTGTCGGCGTCCTATTTTCAAACAAGTTTAGATATTAACCAGGAAAATGTAGAATATTTATTCATAATGAACAAAACCATATTTTCTTTTTGTCTTATTTCAAGCCGAACCAACAAAAGCAAATATGGGAAATGTATGTATCCAGAAAAAAAATATGTATATCGCAACAATAAAAATATAACACAAACAAACATTTTGATATGAAAAAGAAACCAATGAAATATACAAATAAAAATAAACTTAATGTTAAATTTTAAAAAGTATAAAACCACATAATTTAGATGTGATAAGCTTCAAACTGAAACTGGCTTTGATTACATTATTCTTCTTTTTTCTTGTGTTGCGTACATCTACAAACTATCTAAATCACAGTAACTCCAAAGTACAACTAACAGCGAGCTTTAATTATACAGAAAACAACAACTTTTCCTTTTTCTCTTTTTAAAGTTACATTATTATTGATGAATACAAAAATATCCACTCATAATCAGCCATAATATTTTTTATTATAATTGTCTGGACAATAATCTAAGTTTGAAATTAAAAGTAAAACAATTCTTTTAATAAAATGGATAACTATAGCATATAATAAGCATGTTTTTTCTAACAATAAATATTAACAAAACACAAAGCAAAAAAATAATTTAAATAAAATGCTCCAGAGAAAAATGTTTTGTTGCGGCAAGTTGATATAAGTTAAATCAATCATTGATTGAAGTTTGTTGGCAATGACAACATATTAAAAATGTTAAATCCCCATCTGTAATGTAATGCTTGACAATTGTTTATTTGTCACAAATCATTGCTAAATATTTAATCCAGTATAGCTTAGGGAATAGGCATGCCATAAGTTTACACAAGTCATATTAATAACTAGATGGGAATTTAGTTTAAAATATTCAAAACAGAGTATAACTAGTAAAATTACCTTCATATGTGTAGAATAAATATGAAAGTATGTCATTTAAATGGGCAAATAGTTTTTATGTTTTAGTAATGACTATAAATACATAGTAATATAGCATTTACATGACTTTTAAATTGGCATGTGCTTTATATATTCTTGTAACAATTATATATACATTAAAATAGAACATTAAAAATGTAATACATCTCTCAGCCAGTATGAAACATCAGTCACCAAAAAGAAAGCAAGAAAAATGTGTGCGCTCACAGTTGTAAGTATTTGCAAGTGAATGTACCCTATCTCCAGCTTTCATCCTAACAACAAAAGTTCTTGAAGCCTCATTAATTTTATCTGTTCCAACACCGCCAAGCCTTTTCCTTACCCCACCAGATGAGTGCCAAACATTAGCTTGTGCGGCACCATCTCCTGTTGGTTTTATGGTAAGAGTTACTATGTACAGGCCATCAACTGGGGCAGTAAACTCTCCAGTGGTTGGATTAAAACAGTTGCCTACATTAAGTTCTACACTGTTAAACTTTTTTTCATAAAATCCTTGTGAAGCAATAAAACCTAGTGAACACAGTTTTCCTCTGTGATTAGCTTAAAAAAAAGAAATGCAATTGGTCTGTTATAGAAGAATTGCATACAATAAATAAATGTCATAAATATTTTAGCATGTACAAAGACAAGTCAAAGGCCTATGTCTCTTAAAATTTTAGTCCTTTTTTTCTTGATTCATTGGTAATAGCATTGTAAATTAGTTTTAAAATTTACACATTGGACACTTAACATATTTCATTTTTAAAAATGACTTCCTCACTTATGGCTACTATATGAGTATTCTTTTATGCATAGTTCTTATGGCAAGTAAGACTATTGCTCTTATTATGTTTCAGCTCTAAACAAATATAAACATAAACATAAACCAAATTAGCCCAGTAAAAATAAATAATTGGAAAAATAAGACAACAACCACATTTTAAAAAACTAAAAACTGTAAAATTTCTTAATCTACACCAAAAATTAACAAACATGGCATATAAACAAATGATGCATGCATTGAATTTCATTTATACAAATGCTTTATAAATAAAATTATGATGGTCATAGTTTTTAAAGAATAAAGTTAATTGACCTACCAATAGTCTGAAAATCTTGAGACAACTTTAAAACTTCTTTTTCGAGTGTTTGAATCTGGTAGTGGAAACATGGGATGCCATATTTCAGACAGTAAAAAAATATTTATATAATTTACAGATACATTTTGATTGGCCATAATCATTGATATACTTTTTGCACAATTCAATACATATATTACACATTAACATCCAGCATAAAGAGAGTGTTAACATTTTATGAAATGTAAGGTGCAGATAAAAAATTCTTTTAACTAAAAGTTGATTGAGGCATTTTACCTTCAATATTATGTACCAAAATTATCCTAGAAAAAGCTCTTAATCTATATTTAAACTGGCTGTAAACACTATTTATAAATTCATTACATTTGTATTTGCACTATTCTTCAGACACCTAAAACTGTTTCCATCAAGTTAAAATATAAGATTTTTGTACTTAATAGTTTAATCAAGCATTATACTTAGGCTGCCTTGATAAATGTATTATTGATTTTGTTCCTTATTTAACTAAGTAATACATAAATATTTAAAAAAACTAAAGTTTATTATATTTACTTTGCTTTTGCTGTTATCCACTTGTAAAGTTGAAGTTTGGTCTAAAAAACATGTGCATTCTTGTGTAAAACTGTCAGATTTGGGTGTGTAAACTTGTATTTCTTCATTTAAAGTATGTAAGTTTTTTTCATACGCTTTTAAATCTAGAGACAGTTTATCTAGCGTTGTGTTAGAATTTGATACGGTTTCTTTTAAAATTTTTGTTTCATTATTCAGCTCCACTATTTTCTCATTTTGCTCAATAATCTTATCTATGAAATTTTGTTTTTGTTTGTTTGTTAAGTGTTCAAATTGTATCCACAAGTCATTTTGTTCTGTTACAAAATTGTTTCTCCATTGTTTTATTTCTGATATGTTATCGTCTGTCTTTAATTTTGTGAATTGAAGAGAAGATATGCTAGCTTCAGTATGTTCTAGCCTTTTGATAACACTTGAATGAATTTCACCTGTTAGTTAAATTTAGTTAAAATGTAATATATGCAATGGCATTCGTAGGCAAAATGATTATAAAGAAATTGTAATTATAAAGAAATTGTAAGATATTTATTATGAAAACATACATTGATAGAGATAGTATGCAAAGCTAAAAACATTGAAACTATAGGTGAGGTAGACTAATTGATATAAAGTTTCTACATTATGTATAAACTTGATTCAAAACTTAATGATTTGGTGATATTAATATGATGTTTTAATGAGACACATATCAGATCAACAGTGATTTTCTACTCAGTTAAATATGATTAATTTACCTGTATGAGAGATTGGTTTCGCTTGAGGTGGTGTCAAATATTTTGTTCCTGTTTGTATTTCTTCAGTGGTAGTAAACATCTTGGTGGATTCTGTTAAATTATGTGAGCTAAATATTAATCTTATCTTTGCATAACGCTATATTTTGTGATGCTTACATAATGATTAAAATAATTAAATGCAATACAACTTGTTGATCATGAAAACTTTGTTCATGTCATTTTTCACAGCAAAGTACACATTTTTATGTGTGGGCTATCTTTTTGGGAAATATTTTTAAGAATTGCTTATTAATAACTTACCCATTAACAAATCCCTATGCTCTAGGATTATACTTTGCGCTGCTGTTACCATTAGCATAATATCTTTGATTGGTAAATAAGTGTCTGTAGCATTCCCAAGAAATTCTGTTGCTTTTAGTTTAATCTATAAAATATTTCGGTTTTTTTTTATTGCTAATTAGCATTTTAAAGGAAATTTTAATAATGAGGGCATGTCAATTTTTTTTCATTATAATAAAGTAAAAAATATAAATGCCATTAAAAACACATAACGTCCATATTTACCATCTTAATAAATTCACTGAAGCTATTTTGTAAATGAAGACATGATTCCTCTAGCTGATTAAGCTGTGTGTTCAAATGTTGCTTGGAGTGATGGGACATCTAGACAGTCAAAATATGAAACTTTAGTCATAAGGAAAGAAAAAAAGGAGTTCGTATAATGTTTAATGGTAGACTATATCTATATTCATATTAGTATGTCTTAATGTGTTAGATAATTTGTATCGTGTTTAAATTAACACACCAAAAATATATTCCCCAATAATTATAAAGAAACATGTTTGTTGTTTTTTTATTCTTTTTACATAACGATTTATTTTTCCTTTAAAACCAATCGTCTAGTGAAAGCTACTTTGTTTCACCTAGTTTCTAGTTCTACCTACTATCTAAATTCTAGAGTCTATTTATCTATTCTATACTATAATGTATTCTATATACATACACTTATACTTTACAGTATAGTAATTTATTTATAGAATAGTGACGTTTTAGTTTTAGACTAAACCAGAGTTTCTTCCAGACATCTCTTTGGGTGAAGCCCTCCCCCCCCCAGAAAAAATTCTACCGTCCCCCTGAACGAAATGAAAATTATATAATTTATATAGAAAATATATACTTTTAGCAGTGTCCGCCCCCCCCCCCCCGATGAAAGTGCCCCGACCGTCATTGTTCAGATGAGTGCAGAGGCGTAGCGAGGGGGGGGGGGCGGGTGGGGGGGGAATGTGTCCCGGGGCGCCGAACTTAGGGGACGCCAAAATGGGTTGGAAAAACAAAGTGAAAGTCTGAAATGGGCCGCAAATCGAAAGTTTGAGGTGAGGGGGTGGAAATCAAAAGTTTGAGGGGGGGGGGGGTGCAAATCGAAAGTTTGCCCCCGGGCGCCAGAAGGGTCGCTACGTCTCTGGATGAATGCAATGTGACTGTGTGGCAGTAGTATAAAAATGTATAAGAAATCACCCGATTCTACATCTAATACTAAAAGACTAAGACAAAAAAAAACTACTATTGTAATGTTTTCCACTATACTATACTAATATAGGCCCTACTAAATATAGAACCCAGGGCTTGAGGAGGTTCAATAATTAATTATACTGTTTTAATTGAAAGTTAAGTAGTAAGTATACTAGTATAATGTTTAATTATATATATAAATATATATATATATATATATATATATATATATATATATATATATATATATATATATATATATATATATATATATATATATATATATATATATATATATATATATATATATATATATATATATATATATATATATATATATATATATATATATATATATATATATAGGCCTATTACTAATAAAAATTGTAAGATAGCAAAAATATGCCTATCACCTGAAATATGAATGAACTAGATCTAGACTCTATATCTATAATAATTCTATAGGGCCTATTGATATTAAAATTAAATATATAATTAATATGTGGGCGTATTTTTGTTCTAAGAACAAGTAAGTAGGCTCTAATGATAGGCCTACCGTAACCGATTTAACCATTCGTTGCCTACGTTGTTTTTTTATTAAGGCATTCTATGTTTTATTTAACCTACTGCCTATGATACTATTTAATATATTAATCATAGTCTACGTTTAAAATAGTGTCTTATTAGAATTTAATGATGCTGACTGTTCTTTTTTTCAGTTGGCAACACACAATATCGGGAAAATCCAATTGTTGGATTAAACTTCGATTAAAATGTTCTCATTTATTCGCATTATAATTAATATATTAACCTTATGTCATATACAAATGAAATAAGCAGGCATTTCTTCCAGACATCTACTGGTCTACTGCCCTCCCCCCCCCCTACATGAAACGAAAGAGAATGTATACATAAAACATAAACTTTAACCAGCGCCCGCATCCCCCGGAACATTTAGACCGCCCTCACCAAAAGTTTCTAGCTCCGTCCCCTTGTAGAAAAGAAGTCTGAAAGAAACACTGTAAGTAAGCAAGGTATAATATTAATCATGTAACAAAATAGATTAGAATACGTATTTTTTAAAAATTATATGTATATGTGAGGTAGGCTAATTGAAATAAAGTTTCTACTTTTACTAAAAAAATTTATAGTTAAACGCGTTTAGTAATCAGTTTTATCTGTTTTTGCTTGCAGATATATCAAGAGTTTCCTCCAGGTATTTCAATCGGTCTTAGCCCCCCCCCCCCCCTTCCCCCCCCCCCCCCACCCCCGAACGAAATGGAATTTAAATAGAAAATTTTTACTTTTAACTTTAACAGAATTATTTTGTCCGACCCCCCCCCCCCCCCACACACACGCACGGAAAATTTCACGTGTTTCCGGGAAGAAACACTGGATATACCGTATGTGTTGTTTTGAGACCTTGTGTTTGTTGAGAATGTTGTATTATATTTTATTGGCCTGCTTGTATTTTTTTATTAGATAATTATATTTCATTTAAAAATAAGGTAACCTGGGGCATTTCCACGCCCTACTTTAATTTTTATTTTTTTAACCGTGTATTAACACTACATCATTTTTTCAAGGTGTACCTATATTTGTATACTTGCACGCGAATTTCGTTTGTATTCAACATGGTAAAGCTTTGTTAATTTTTATGCACATACATTTTTGTACATAAACAATAGTTTTTTTTCTAGCAGTTAATTTCTTTGTTTAACTCCCTTGTAGTCTCTCGGCTGACGACGGAGCTCAGTTATGACTGGCATACCAAAAACTATCGGCGATTATTAATGAAAACATGTCCATTAAAATTATAAATATGATTGTATATATGTACTATATTATTATGTAAGCCTACATCCCATTAGTTTTGTAAAAATTTTACAGGCTTAAGGGTAATTTTTTTTTTATGTAACCAAACATAATCGCATCACAAGGCGGGGGCAGAGGTGTGGTCAGCATTTAATGACAACATTCAGGAATGTCACCATAACAAAACAATGTAAAATTTCCTTTCAATAAACTATGTTGTATACATATACATTAATAAACGTTTAATGAAAAAGTACATTAAATCTTAGTATTTGATCATTTAAGGGTTATCTTTTTCACATGGCGTTTGAAATTTTAAAGAGTGGGTGTGACGTGGACGTGAAGGGTATTTCTAGCAAAGCTTGCTGCGTGTTTTAAAATTCTGAACTTAAGTCGGGTTTATGAATCAACTTATCAAGACTTTGTTAACATAATAAATGCAAGACAATAATCTATTTTTACAGTTTTGAAAAACTGGCACGGATTACGTCGATAACAACCTTTATTATACCTCCAATTTACCTCCACTTTGTGGAAAGGTTCACCCTCTACATATGCTCTCACTTCCCATCCCCTCTCCGTTCGGCTGCATTCCAGGTCTTGCAGCACTCGTGTAGGTGTTCTGCTAGCGACCAATCCCTGAGTCCGAAAAGTCTATGGTACGTATCGTTCAAAGTGGGCCATAACAGGGCCGGTAACAGAATGCTGTTGTCTCTTACCTCTGTTTCAAATTACAGAGTTATCCCATGTAAGTCACTCACCCGCTCCATTAGTGTGGAAGAAGACTTGTACCCACTGGGCTTTTGTACAATTGTACGCTACCAAACTCTTGTTTTAAAAATACGTATGTGGTCAACTCTTGCAGTCAACCTTGTTTTATCAAGAGACATACTTTTATTTAACACGTTTTTAACACGTTTTTCTTAACTCAGCTTCGCGTTTGTGGATTTGTTTGTTTGTTGTTAAA